CACTGTAAATGCTCTGACAGGTTATGGGCCCACTCCAGGGAGAATGCCAGAGTGACTGGAGAGGTTAGAGTGGGAGGTTGCACCAGAGTGAGTGGATTAAATCATGGTTAGCAGGCAATATTGCCTCTGTTGGTGAATTGGGAGGAGGCTTCATGGTGTCTCAGCTGAATGAGACAAACTATCTCTCCTGGAATGTGAAGATGGAGATGTGGAGAAAATGGGCTTAAGACTGAGAACTTCGAAAGTGCCCATTGCCTTTTGCCAGTTGGGTGGGTCAGTAGCTGGGGGGGCTCCTGCCCATTTTGTGACTGAATCATATGTGGATGGGGGATCACCAAGAAACCTTAAGTTTCATCGTTGGACCTGGGATGGATCAACCCCTCATACTAGAATTACCCTGGCTAAAGAAATGGAACCCATATGTTAATTGGAGGAAAGGGTGGTTGCGCATCCATTCTGCTAAACCCCCAGAGGGCAGAGGGTCTCCCATATAGCCAATGCTGAACCTAACCTAGCGGCTGCAGCGCAGGAAAAAATTAAGGGGGAAGAGAAAATCCCTAAAGAATACTGGGACCTTAAGGATGTTTTCAGTGAAAAAACTTCTGATAAATTACTCCCCCACCGCGCTACTGATTGCAGCATTGAGCTCTTCCCAGGCGTAAAACTCCCCAAACCCCAAATTTATTCAATGACCCCATGTGAAATGAAGGAAATGTGAAAATTTATTGACAAAAACTTGAAACGGGGGTGGCTGCTCCTGTATTGTTTAGTGAAAAGAAAGATGGCTCCTTTCATTTATGTGTGAATTACAAAACCCTTAATGGTATTTGCTTGGAAAATGTATACACCCTCCCACTCATAAAAGATATGTTGGCCCACTTGGGTAAAGGCAAATTTTTCACAAAGTTAGACCTCAGGGAGGCCTTCTACAGGATCAGAATCAAAGATTGAGATGAGTAGAAAACTGCTTTCAACTGCCCTTTGGGATGTTTTCAATTCAAAGTACTCCCGTTTGGTCTGCAGTAGGCGCCAGCAGTTTTCATGCAATTAATAAATGAAGTTCTGCATGAGCATCTCTACAAGGGCATGTTGGTCTACCTTGACGACATCCTTATCTACACAGAAACACGTGATGAACACCTGATTTTAGTACGGTGAGTCCAATGGCAGTGTCAATGACTGAACACACCAGGAATACTTGGTTGTTGGACAGTGGGGTGAGCCAGCATATTGTTAACAATCCACAAGTGTTTTTTGGTTTGAAACCAGTAATGCAAATGTGGGTTAGTCTGGCCAATGGACAAAGAGCTGCTGTAAAAGGGGAAGGTGATGTTTATGTACCATTGTACAATGTCTTATACGTACCTGTGTTAGAACATAATACTGTTGAATATATCCATGTTAGACAGGCAGGGTTATGAAATAGTATTTGCAGGGGGACTATATACCATTAAGTAAAATGGACAGATAAGAGGATGACTGGAAGTGCTGCGGCAAGACAGACTGGAAATAGCAGGTTCTGATGATTCCACAAAAATCCAGCCTGACAAACCGTTGTTGTTGGGGTCTTTGGGCCAGAGCTGTCTTGTAGGGACAGCAAAGAAGAAGAGGTGCCTCAGACGACCAAGAGGAATGCAACAGGTCAGATGCAAATTCTTTGAAACAGTGGTGGGGATGGTGGACATTGTAAAATGTCTGCTCAGAAGCTGGGGCAACCGGACTAAGTATTGATACAGGAGCGATGTCTGGACAAAGTGAGAAGGTGAGAAGATTTATTAACTCACTGATATAAAAACTTTGAATTTGGAATTGGGAAAGAATTTTTTGAATTGAAAACTGATTAATTGATAAATAGGGAACTTCATAAAAAGAAAAGGGGGGAAATGGCAGTTTAAATTACTAAAGTCCAAATTACTAAAGTAATTGGAGGTGGAAGATGAGAAAATGATTGGCTAACCCACTGGTATAAAAACTCTGAATTTGGAAAGATGTTTTTAAGTGGGAAATAGAAATTAATTGATAATTGGGAACTTCACGGAAAGAACAGCTGCAGGGGGGGGGGGAGTGGTGGCTAAATTACCAAAGACCAAGGAGACTTGTTTGTTCTAACTTGTTTGTTTTAACTAACTGGGGGTGGAAAACAAGAAAAGGAAAACCTAAGAAAAAGTTTTGTTTCTTTTTTGTTACTATTTTTATTTTCTGGATTTTAAAATCGTTTTTTGGAAATACGCTGGACTGAAAGAATTGAGGGTAGGAGTCATCTACTGTAAGGAAGGAAATGTTATTTTGTAGAAACAAAGAAAGTGAGACTTAAAGACCTGACCTTGATGTGAATTGGAACAGTAAGAAATTCTAGGGAGGGTTTGTTTTGTGCAGGCTATTTAGTTTTGTTCCTTTGCAGCTGTGGAAGAAAAAGGGAATTTTCTTTTTTTGCTGGAACTGGATTGGAACATTTGAATTGGACTAGAATCGGAAAATAAGAAGAAATTGTGGACTTTAAACTTTAATGAATTGGGATATATCTTAAAAGGAAAAAATTGTAAATTGGGCAGTATGGAGAGTTGGGAATTTAAAGAAATATGTGCGATTATAAAAATATGCGTGAAAAACTAAAATTAAAAAGAGATAACAAGCCAGATATTAAGGAGAAGCAATAAATAAACATTGAAGAAGGAGCAGCACGAATGGCTGCTTGAACAGAGAGCTCCGTAAAGAACAGCTGGGTCTGGTGTCCGGAGCGGTTACTTGAAAGACTTTTGTAAACCGATGATTTCCTGTAGGGAAAACTAAAGAGAAGGTTGGTTTGACAGGACCATAGGATAGTAGTTCATGGTCTGTGCTTGAAATTTCCTTCATAACCCCAGGCATGGAAGAGGGCGATCTGTAATGGCCATCCCAGAGTGCTGATAGCAGTTCAAAGTAAGTGAGGATTTATTACAGAGAAGCTGCAGGAGTCGCGAGTGGCTTAACAGATTCTTGATTTGGTGGAAGGTATTTTTATTCCAAAACAGCTCAAGAGACTAAGGGGCTCAAAGAAGGAGTGGGG